CGGATCGGAGCGAAATTAAAAATATCAGGGAAGCCTGTGCCTATACAGATAAATCCGTTCCGCTTTTAAGCTTTGCGTAAATTGAATCTGGAAAATCGAATGTTACGATGCAACACAGCTCACGTAGGCACGATGAATGAATTAGAGCGGGCTTGAATAGATATGTCGGGTCTCCATTCAATATGCGTGTCCTGGGGGCAGCAAACTGTTGTCCCGTGCTTAGTCTCTATCACATAAACACAATGGCTCGTTCAGAGCTGTAGGGAACGGCTCGTTAGTGCACTGCTAAGAACAAGGTGAGCTTAGGGTCATGCGTAAATACATTAAAAGAGAGATGCGAAATTACCGTTTTGTAGTTTTTGTTGATAAACTTTAGCCTAAGGTTGCGACAAACAATTTCAGCGGTTGCCACTCGTACCATTTTTTTATGATGCTCGCTAGATACTGTTTTAAATTATACAATTATTAGTAGCTACTTACTTAGTATAGCATAATAATACTAAATATTTATTACAATCAAAGAAATAATGACCTGATGAACCAGATCTTTGTTATCTAAGAATAAATGCAATTAATAAATATCACGTAGAAAAGGTCTTATCCCCTTTTCCTTTAATACTCATAGTTTTGTAGTAAAATAGTGCTGAAGTAAAAAAAACGTTGAAAATTGACTTTGCAATAAAACTTTTAAAGTTATAAGATATAAATTTAGTTACTGTTTTGTATAACTTTGCAAGCCATAAAAGTTTGGACGAAACTTTTTTATACATATCTCTCATAGTTTAAGAGATCAAAAACCATTTATTTTATCAGTGTTTCAAAAATGTATAGTATACATATACATATATATATATACTCTATATAATCGGTTCAGCCATTTCGAAGACTAGCCCGGACGGACAAGTCTTAATTTTATTTAAATAATTTTTTTAAATTTAATAACCCGCTGAACTCAATAGAAATGATTTCGTTATTACAGACAAACGCTACATTTTTTTATATGTATAGATGTGTAAATTTTTACCTTTGCTTTTATATGAATCTTAAGTAAATATTTATCATTAATTTTCATATACTCCTTAAAACATGCATTCAATTTAAAAAAATACTCAGAACATTAAAACGTGAAAAACAGTAGAACTAAAATAAAATTATTCGTTTCGCCTTTTTAAATTACGTCTTCGCTGTAAACGACAGACTCCGGAAGGAATCGTTGCTTGGAGTTTCGTAACAGTAAACTTTTATATTCGCTTCAAAATATTTTGAAACAAAATGAATAAATTAAAAAAAAACACATGCATAAATATCAAAAGTCGATCACACAAAATGAGGACTAATATTTTAAATCAAGTAAGTATTTCACTAATTCATGAAATCTAGTATTTTGTATAAAAGTATGTTATTTTCTCAAATACAAGATGGTAAAAAGGTTTGTAAATAAATAGTAAAAATTGAAATTCTGGGCAAAATATTCCAATCGCATTCCCCTAAATTAGACATAACGTACTTTAAGAATCTCATTATAGCGTTGCCCGCAAATCGAACGACAATTACAGAAGCATTGAAGAAGTGTTTATTTGTGCGACAATTTATTCGGCAATTTGTATCCATTAACAAACTGAGCAAGGCTCAATGAGTACTCGTAACCAGGATTTACATCTTAGTTCACGCTGGCTGGCTATCCTATTTTGTGAACTTTTCGGGACATATCGTTTTGTCACGTATCGTTCGAACACGCTATATCGTAAAGTCAACATCGACATCAATATATTACAATGGCAAATAGTAAATACATAATGTGTTTGGGGTAGTGATAAGTACGACCACCCTGTGTTCTCAGAAGGTAAATGAGATTTATGTGTCGTAATCGGCGAAATATAATCCACTTAAAGAATAGTGCAGTACAAAGTATTTTGGAAGCATGAAAATAACGATTTATGTATTGTGAAATACTTTAACGGCTTTTATTATGTTAGGTATATTATATAAAATTTCATTTTATTATTTTGATTTAGAATTACCAATAAAGTTCTATCGCGGCTACCAATTATGAACACTCATTATAATGCCATAACCACCAACACTAACAAAGCCTACCTTCAATCCTAACCGTCCGCAAATGAAATTTCAAAAGCAGAACGCTGCTACCACGCTTAGCCTTCAGGGTCCAATCATGATTAGCAAGTAATTTCATCGTGCCTGTCAATAATGCCAATATTGTGTAACGTCAAGTAGCGTAGGTGCCGTAAAATATAAAAGCTACAACGCTGTGTCTGTAGGTCGATTATGCTTTAGGAGTGTGAGAATATAGACGATACGCTCCCACCTGCATATCTAGCGTGATATTGTCGATAAGTTAATTTCATTTAGATGCGTCGCTGCAGGTCACTAATAATTATTATTTAATAATTATCCACCTCTAGAATATTGCGTTGGTAACGTAAGGTAAGTACAGTGTTAATATTAGGTACATACATTTTTTAAGTATGGTTTTGTTGGTACATAATTGTGCATTGATGTCATTCATCATGATGACATTTGGTAACTTACTGTCTTAAATTTCTACGTTCTTAATCTAGGCTTATTGTACAGCTGTGTTCCATCAAACAATACCAATAGTATTCTTTGAATCTGAAAAACAGTATGGAAAAAATGTATTTTAATCTATGGAAAGAAAACAATACTGTTTTCAGTAGATTCGGTAATTATATATTGTTTTTGTGTGTTGTTTATATGTTTTGTGCGAATATATGCTATTTGAACTCCAATGGTCCATAGGTAAATTTTATGTTAAACTTATTATATTATTGTTACTGTATACTTAAGCAATAAAGAATATTGCCTCTTATTTGACCCACATAGTCACGATAATTGATTAATTAAAGGCATTAATTGTTTAAAATAGTTATAAATGTATACTCCCCTGGCCACCCCCATTACTTGATTGTAAAATTTTATGTCCATTTGCTGTAAATACTTATGCCATTATGTTTTCTTTTAAAGTAATCTTATGCCTAAATAAACATCAAAACACATTTTATCAAAATACATTGTATAAATATTTGTTAAATAAAAAATAAGATATATTTTTTTTATATATATAAATATTTTCACGTCACGTTACAATAATATCACCTCACCTAGTGAAACTGAAGGACTAAAAATTTGACATAAAACAGCTAAAGTATGTTTTTTTCCTTGAACTACGCGTCTAGTACAATGTAAAGTTAGAAGCAAAGTAAGGGCGTTAAGAAAAGCTCAAATAATATTGCGTCAGTTTTCGATAACCTGACGGCAAGCGTTTGTGCCAGTCGTTGGAGTCCCTTGGTAAGTATATGTTGTTGTATTTTATCATTACAAAGTTGTAAATTTGCACAATGCAATGTTTATTCTGTGTAGATGTCATATATTACGTTAAACTGAGGTCAGAAAAACAAGTGATGTTGTTTTTGTAGGTTATGTGCGATTTTGTCACTTCCCTAGCCTCGCTTATCTGGCATATTTCATACCAGTGGAAATACATATGCCTGCAAGAAAGTGGTGAAATTTTGTTCGTTAATATTTAATGTTAATATTTAATTTTTTTACGCTTCATTTCATTTATTCTAGATACTCGAGCACAATCGGATATCCCAACGTATGTTAAAAAAAAGCAAACAAGAGAAGAGAGGCAAACAAGAGAAGAGAGGCAAAAAAAACGTCAACCTGAAAAATTACTCTACCAAAAAATTAAAAAAAATAATTTAAAACAGCTAAATTAAAATAAAAGCAGAAATAAAAAAAGGAAAAGGGACAAATTAAGAGAATTATTGACATGAATCAAAGGGAAAAACGGCTGATAGAAAAATATTGAGAGAGAAAACTAAAAACCATAGAGATCGTGTAAAGCTAATCTACCAGAAACTATCTAGTAACACCACCTGCGTCTGATAATGAGGGCCAACCTCCAGTTCTACAAAACAACATCGACCTGACTGCTAAAAGACGATCAGAAAGTCAGTTGAAACAACGAAATTAAGTCACGAAAAAACAAAAATATGAAATTAAACGGTTACTTCAAAAGGTGCATGAAAGAAGCAAGGCGCATTGAAAAACATAAAATGACTCCAAACACGTGGTTACACGTTACACGTGGTACACGTTAAACGTGGTAGGGCCATGCTGCAGCTATATTAGTAGTATAGTTGTAGCACGAATGGGTCGGCTCGACCGGGGAAGGACCACGCTCTCACAGAATACCAGCGTCAAATAGCAGCTTGACACTGCTGTGTTTCGTATGGTGAGTGTAGAGAACCGGAGACTCTTTTTACTGGAAAAGAGGCATTCCATCTTAGTCCTCACGGGTGACAACGCATCTGCATTTTGATTCGCAACCATCAGGTGGACTGTGTGCTCGTTTGTCACTCTATCCTATAAAAAAAGAAAACACAAAAGTGGCCGATCTTTTAAGAATCAATGAAGAAAAAATGTTATTTAGTGAGGTGATCCAAATTCAATTCAAAGAAAATGTAGATTTGACAACGAATGGTAATAAAAAGAAGTTATTTAAAAAAGTATAAGTATAAACAAAACCCCCCGAGAAAACGTCATGTCACGAGCATTTGCGACTGCAAGATCAAAAAAATGTAACATGATCTTCTCCATTTTCTGGTCTTCATAAAAGTTCGATAATACTCGATTGATTGGTCGAGGACGTCAACTCGTCCCATGTTCCGATTATAATTTTCAGATAATCTTTCCAAGAGAGGTATTGACGTGAAATAACGATCGAAGTAAATGCAACTTCCTGGGGGAATGGATTTGGAAAGGTGCAAAATAACTGCTGCTCCCACACCCAGAGATTTATCTGTGAATGGGGTGTTAGCCCCTTGATAGACTTCAAAGTCGAGCATTAGACCATCGCTTGTTGTGGCTACATAAGCTTTCAAGCCGGTGGGTCTAGGTTTGGACTTTATGACTTGGCGTAGACCTTTTGGGCACAAGCCACAGAAGGGGATTATTTATTCGTCTATAGAACCCGGTAGCCTTTCTATTTTCTCACAGGCATTATTTACCTGATTTAATACCGGTTGTACTTTCCATAGACTGTTCTTTTTACCAACTGGGGCGATATCCTCTTCCACCACATAAAAATTTGTGCGCAACTGCTTCAGTCGGTCTCTTGGAATGATATCAGCTACTAATGTCAGTCTCATTTCTTGCCTCCAGTACATATGAAGTCGTAGATAAGTTATGCACCCCATTACAAAATGCACACCAATGAACTTCTTCATTTCTACAGGATTAGTATGAAGAACCCTTCCAGTTTGCCTCAAGTAGTAATTATTCGTGCAGTAAGCAGCTTTCTCATCATCATAAAATGCATCGTCAAAATAGTCCTCGAAGTATTCGAGAGGCGTTCTAATCGTTTGTTGTTCCCGTGGCGGAAAATTATGTTCTTTTTGGTCAAATGGAATAGATTTCCATAGCCTTCGCCTAGACGGATCCCTGTTGCGTTGAGCTGCCTCGGACTGAGCACGAACGCTAGGTGGCGGATTACCAAATAAATCAGGCAGCTGATCATTTCTACTCATGCGTTCCCTCGTGCGGTACCGAGAAGTACCATGAGATGTGCTTGGTGCGCTTGATGGACGATCAGGTAGATGATGCCGGCGACTTACAGAAAGACCACGTTGAGATCCAGCGCAGACTGTATTCGGACTAGCACTTATTTCTGGTACCTGAATGTTAGTGGTTTCTTATTCTTGCTCGCTCTTAGAAACATCATCGTCCGAATACGACTGACCCGCCACCCGATCTGGTACAGCCTCAATGTCTTCCTCTTCATGACATTCTTCATCTTCGAAACCCTCTATCTCAGACTCGTTTCCGTCTGCTATCAATTCTAGTAAGCATTCCGAGGTAAATGTTCTTTCTGCAACAGAAAAAAGAGCGTTTAGTAATTTTTTTACCGATTAAAAACATTAAAAACATTGATCTAATTTTTAATCAAAATAAATTTTGATAGACGAGTTAAAGCCGGACTCGCACTATCGTGCGATCTTCGTGTCCGATAGAGGTACGCATTGAACTATAGTTGTCTCATTGACTTGACTTTATTACCTATTAAAATCGCACAATCAATGTAGTCAATCACTATTAAAAATATTTTTAATCATTACTTACTTTTTCCACGCGCGTCAGAAATCCGCGACAACTTCTCACAAGTATAACCTTTGCGGCAAAGTTCACACTATACTAAAGGTGGCTACTGACCTGCCTGCCGCAGGGGCAATCTAGGGTGTAGGAGTGGGGATGACCCTTAATTGTGATGTGTGGCAATTTTTTAAGTCGGCCCTGCGGCCTTCGATATTGCTCCGATCGCTGTGCTCCCTAGATTGCCCCTGCGGCAGGCAGGTCAGTAGCCGTCTTAAACGCACTACCGTGTGGTATCGGCCGCGTCTCGTAAAGTTGATCGAGCGCGCGAAAATATTTTTGTAAAGTTAAACGCACGATCGTATAAGAGCGTCGTGAAAAAGATAAATATAAGTACCAGCAAAAGCCACTTAGACCCTCTATTTCCAAAAATACTTACTTAAAAAATAATTTATAGGAAGAAAGATTTGACGAAACGTTTGAAAGTATATCAGTATAATTAATTCGAACAAAATATAAATTATATTTCGCTCCTGTGCTTTGAATGGTTAAGTAAACGCTGAGGTGAGATTCACATAGTAAAGTTAGTGCTAAAAAGTCTACGGCTCTACAGGTAAAATAAGGCATCAACTAATTAATTAATGGTTGAACAAATTATTGGTTTTGTTTAAAATCCTAAAAAGCATTATTTTTTTAACTATAAATTATAAAAACAACAGAAATGTTGAGTTTATTACTCAATATGTGTTTTATTAAAGCAGTATATAAATTATTGAAAACCTATCATAAAAGATGTAATTAATTTTAAAAACATAAAATACTTAAAATTCAACGTGCTTATAACAAGCCATTAGGTTTGACAAACAACAAATTGCTATGCATTTATAAACAACCAACTGGAAATAATGGAGAAGTTACGTAAACGTATTGAAATACCAAGAGGTAAAAATCACTTACCACGGAGGTTAAATGTCATCAACGCGTGTTATGATATCATCGACGCATTAGCAAGCGGACGCGACGCATCATCAACTATTTGTTTCTTTACACGGAAATCATAGCTTAGACCTTCTCTAACCATTTAACCAAGCGTTCAAAATATTATTTCTCTTGTTGACTCTAAAATCAATATTTACAACATGTTTTGATATTATTCCAATCGTGACGTAAACATATTAACATACCTTCACATATTATGCGATGTTGAGTGTTAGACTATAATAAAACTAAATTAGGTCGGGGAAAAAGTTTCTTCGCATTTTGTTTGTATAAAATGAAAGAAAAATCTTCTTGGTTGTACTATTTGTATTGGTTGGTTTTTGGAGCGTTTTGGTTGTACTGGTTTTAATATCAAGACATATAGGACATTAAGAAAAATAAAAAGTAAAAAACACTTTCCCGCCATTTTTCAATTGTGTTTCTGTCCGCCAAAATGAGTGAATCTGAACGAAGAAATTGATACATTGTGATAATTTATTACAAATAATAATCATTAAAGACAATTTTGTTTCATCTTATCCATATTTCTATTCTAATATAAAGTTAAAAAATTTGTATAACCAACTTCAATATATTAACTTTAATATACTTAAGTAATTAATTCTTGATTTTTTTAAAACCACTCGACCGATTTCGATTTGAATTTTCCAAATCGGTTCAGGCGTCTTCGAGTACCTAATCGGTGAACATACATAAAAAAAAAAAACAAAGATTCCGACGAATTGTAAACCTTCTCCCTTTTGAAGTCGGTTGAAAAGAGAAAATGCGATTCAAGCCGCGAAAAAAATTTGTGACGTTTATGGACCTAATGCAGTGTCAGTAAGAGTAGCATAAAGTTGGTTCAAGCGCTTTCAGTTCTAGAATTTTGATGTCAAAGATGCAGCTCGCTCTGGTCTCCCTCATACGGATAAAGTCGATGCCATTTTGGAAAAAAGGAAGCAAGATCGGCATATTAGTAGTTACGACATAGCCGAGGAATTGCGGATTGACCACAAAAGTTTTGACCCATTTGAAACAGTATGGCTATACAAAAGCACGATATTTGGGTACCACACGAGCTCACTGAAAGAAATCATGTACTCATTTGCGATTCTCTATTGAAACATAATGAAACCGAACCATTTTTAAAAAGGTTGATCACTGTTGATGAAAAGTGGGTCACACCTACGACAAGAACGTGCGAAAAAGATCATGGTCAAAGGGTAGTAAAGCTCCACAGACTGTAGCGAAACCCGGATTAAGGTAATGCTATGTGTAGTGTGGGATTGGAAGAGCATTGTTTATTATGAGCTGTTACCACCGGGTAAAACCATCGATTGAGATTTATACTGCCAACAAATAATGAGACTCAAGCAAGAAATTGAGAAAAAACTGTCGGAATTGATTAAAAGAAAAGGAGTGATCTTTCATCTTGATTATACCAGACCGAAAACCAGAAAAATTGAGAGAGCTTGGTTCATCCCCCATTTGGTCCTGACCTTGCACCCTCAGATATTCATCTCTTTCGGTCTCTTCAGAATTATTTGGGTAGTATTAGGTTAACATCAAGAATGGACTATCAAAACTACTTGTTTTGTTTTCATCAAAAATCACAAGATTTCTGCAGCAACCTCGCTACCTACCTATGAAAAAAAAAGTCTTGAATTTGTATATAAAATACGAAAAAACCTTCCTTGACCTTATATAAAACTTATTAAATTAATACCTATATAAGAATGTATTCCTAGTTTCACATATTATATTTTTCCATTATTATTAACCAGACTAGATGATACCCGCTCGCTTCGCTGGGCGCAAGATAATATTTTATTGCGGAACCTATTAAATTTTTTTGATGGGACTATCCTAAAATCCGTTCTTAGTGAGCGTTTACATTGCAAAATGAGTAACTATACAAAATTTCAAGGCAGTCGGGTGTTTCCATAGGGCGGGGGGATTTATGCAATAATTGCTACGCTTGGCATGCGGGTTGCCAATAGCAGTTATTATTAGTTTGAGTTGTTCTTAAAAAGATACTGGCGCTCATCGCCTATTTTATTCCAACAATGGGACACCTACGATTATTTGGGGTAGCGGAATCTATTACGCGTTACGAAACGGAGTTTTAATACTATGCTAAAATAACAATTCAAATACTACAAAGCATCACTATCACCACGTTGTAAAATCACCCTAAGCGCAGGAATGACAAATAGATTTCATGACGGCACTAATAGGGTCGTTACGAAGAATCGTAAAGCAATAGATCGTGTCGGGCTCCTGACCTCGCCCTCTCTACTCGTGGTGCCGTGCCGTTCATTAACAAGGCTGCGCATTGTTGCTAGATCGTCAAAATATGAACGCAACAAGTTTACCTCGGGTTTTGTAGACTTTATTTTATGAATCTGTGTACATACATAAAACGTATATCGTTTGTCGACTATTTATTTACATAATATTGCTTTCAATATCAAAAATATTTTATTAATTTTAGAATTACTGCAAGCCATATGGAATTTTATAAACGACAAAATATAATTTACAGTCTGAAACAATTTATCTTTATGGAGAAGAACCAAAAAGAAACTTTAGGTCATCGTTGTATGTATATATTCTATATTATATTAAAAATTCAATTTTACATTTATACTTAATCTTGATAATATAGCGACGAATAAAAATTTATGAAGATATTATAATTCATTATAATAAATATACTTCGACCGAGAGGTCAATCGGCAGATACAACTCGGCTAGGCAGTGTTCAAGAGATTACGAAACAATTTCTTGTCACGTATACCTCAAAACTTGAAAACAAGATTGTCAACCAGTGTCAGTTGCCAGCCACATATGGATCTGAGACGACCGATCCTTCACTGCTAGCCGTGTGACGAAGCTCAAGGTGGCCCAGCGAGCTATGGAGAGGGTTATTCTCGGACTCAGTGATGAGCATGTCCGCAGTAGAGTAACCGACATAGCCCAATGGATCAGTAAGCTGAAGTGGCAATATAGATCGAACAATCGACGACCGATAGGGAAGAAAGATTGTCGAGTGTCAGCCTGTGGTGTGGTGCAACAGATTGCACAGCGACGTTCTGCGCTGTGCAATCTGTTGCACCACGCACGACACACCATACAGATGTGTTTTATATAGCAGTACTATGCTATATAAAACACATCTGTATGGTATCAGTACTATGTCAGATAATTTTTAACTGTAATTACAATGCTTTATCTTATTTCTTATCATCGAAAAATTTGTTTAACATTATTTTAATTTTTAGAAAAAAAAAAATGTTTTCATTAAACATAAAAAAACAATACTGTACCAGATGCGCTAAACATTTTTAGTAAGTTCGTCTTACAAATTGCTCTTTGAATAATGGGTCCAAACAGCACAAAACATTAGAAACTGTATGAAAATAAATTTGATCATAAATCTTTTGCAGCGGCCTTAACA